AGGGCCAAAGGGCGGGGGAGGGCTGTATTCAGCAGAAGTGGGCAAGAAACTAGTCTCAAAATTTCCCTGAACCACTTACTGTGCTTTACTAGTCTATGATTGTTACTAAAAGGATTCATAGCAATGTTATAATAGATGTGTATGTATCTAGATGTTAAGTTACAGATCTCAGATACTAATGGCACCAGAAGGCTAGGGAACCCACTGTGTCCAACTCTGATTTTTTTGACTCCTTCGTTCATTACCTGAAAAGTCCTCATCAGACGTACCACATTTTTCTTTCTGCACACTCTCTAAATCTGTTTAATCTTTTTGTTTTCCTTCACAGCTTCAAAATATAATCCTAGCTGACTTGTTTCTCAGATAGCTGAAAGTTAAAAGCGTATCCAAACGTTATTTTAATATAACAATCACATACACCTCTCCTCTTTTTCACTAACTGGGGCGCATCTTTGAAATCTTTTCTAGGACTTGGGCTTCCGTAAACATACATGATATTCCTCCCTCCCTCTTCATTCAGACTGTTTAGAATGGGGACAAATCCAAAATAATTTCAAACTCAACCAAATGGAACAAAAGATCTCAAGAGAAAGGCTCTTCTTGTTTAGTCTTTGGTTTCCAGATCCAAAGGAGACATCTGCTTCAAAGCTTGAAGCAAAGCAGTAGAGTCCATGGGGGAATGGGATGGTATAGGTGAAGGGAGTCGATGAGGCAGTAGCAAAGGAGAAGACATTTTCTCTGGGTTCATTAACCCTGAAAGTGCTGCAGTGGATGTTGGGAGGCTTGGATACAAGATAGGCACAGAGGCCGGATACCAACACTTCTCCAACATAGGCAGGTAGGCTGTCGCTGAGGGAGGGAAAACATAAAAAGGCAAACACAAGGGAGGCTGGTGGGGGTGTGGACCTAAGCAGCTGTTGGAGGAAGAGCCAAGTATGTTATTACTAAAATGGTCTTCATCCTCTGACATGTCCATCCTGGTCCGTTTTGCTGGCGGATCCTCGTTTTCTTGTTTAATAGAGCTGATTCTCTCTTGGGCAGCATACTTGAGCTCCGTGTCCTTTTTAAAATACTGTGGATCAGATTTAGAGTCACTTTTTTCTAGTTCGCCCCCATATCCACTGTCTGTGTCTGTGTCACTACCACTCTGCTCTCCACTGGAGTGGGCAAAAGTTCTCTGAATCACAGGCACACAGTTTTTCCCATGTGCCTCAGCAGCTTTGGTCAGAGATACAGATTTCTCCTTCAGATCTGTAAGTTTTGGGATGGCATCTCCAGGCTTTCGGCTGATTCCACTCTGCAGGGCTTCTGCCATTCTGTGCAGGTGGGTCATGAACTGAGATGATTTCAGTTCCTTGGTGTTTTCATGCTTGGCCAGGTATTGCAACACTTCTTTGGCACACATCTGGAACCCAGACCGAAATATCTCTTGGCTAGATTCAAGACTCCGTGATGGCAGCTCATCTGAAGAGACATTAGCCAGAAATTAATCTGATATACCAAAAAGGTTCAGTAAACATGAAAATGTCATGGAGCCCTAAGTAGGTATATCTACTGAAAAGCCATTCAGTTACCACAGTTTCCTTCCAGGTAAGTGTGCACATGGGAACTGCTTCAAAAAGAAACGTTACTTTAGTGGGTTAATTATCTGGCCTCTTGAGGGTGAAATCCAGGTTTTACTGAAGTTAATGAGAAAACTATCACTCCACTGGAATTTTGCTTCTGGTCCAGCAAGAGCATTTAAAATCCAGTGGATGGGTGGGGGTGGGGGGACAAGCGTTGAAGAAATTGGTTCTTTATCAGGTAAGTCTCCAGTTAACAGGTGAGAACAGAATGAAAATAAAATGGAATGAAGAAGAATCCTTTCTAGGATCCTGTCTTGTCAGATGTTTTGTTTTTAGTGAATTAGAAACTGAAACATCAATGGAGACCCCAAAGTACTACAGGCTTCAATGAGAGCAGGCACAAATCAACTTAGCAAAATAGCCCGTTACACTAACCCCGTGTCATTGCACATTTTGCTTAATGTTTCAATGTTTAGATTATTCCACTCGATGGATCCGCCCTTTCATACGGACTTCCTCAACATTCCTGGTGCCAAGTCACACTACCATAAAAAAGGGCTATTCACATATTGATAGCGATTCATGCAGAGGCAGCAGGGAGCTCTTGGCCCAAGAAGTCATTCTTCAGAAGATTCCCCTCTCCCCAATTCCTATAGCGTTACTGCGTCTACCTTGTAGAACGGATTACAGGAGGAATTACCACTTAATGTGGACAGTCTCTTTATGCTACTGGTAGTAGTGTCCAAGCAAAGGGTTCCTTCAGTTATAGAAGGAAATGCTGGGTCAAAATAGAGAAGAATTTAAACTTTAAAAAACTGTTCCCAACTTGATGTTCTCCCAATTAATTGGGACTGCAACTTCCAAACTCTGCAGCTCATAAAACTCTGGGAGTTACCATCCCAATACATCTGGAAGACTGCTTTAAAAGATAACAGAAGTATAGGCTGAAGATAAAGAAATAGGAAGGAAACATCTTGACAGTTTAGAGTTGCAGTAACTAATCCAGGTTTCTAGGTTGCTGGAATACTATATAAGAAAAAGTCCTCCTCTTGATCTACAAATGATACATGGCTCAGTGGCCCAATCTTTTTTTTAAAACACGTTCAGATCTCAAATAAAGAACTCGCCCTGAATGAAAAGAAGTTCAAGATGAAAGGGCAAAGGCTGCCAAGTTTCATATTTCTTTCTTTTAAAAAATGAGGCAAGAATAAATGAGAGATCCTTTACCATGAGAAGTTTTGTTGAAATGAGCAGGGCTATTTTTTTCAATAGAGGATTTGGATTTGAAAGGCATCTGTGACTATAGGAAAAGTGTTAAAGACCAAGTACTCACCAGCATGTAAGCCTTTCTGGAGAGCTATGATCTGCTGTTGCTGCTGTTCAATGAGACTGGTTAATGCTTTGACATGCTTCAGCGTAAGTTCAAGAACAACAGCTTTTTCTAAGTGTCCTAAAGTCTGAGAACAGGAAAGGAGTGAGTTGGTCAGCTGAAGGAAACAGAACGTGGGAGCAGTACATACTGGCACAGTATGGAAGGAAATGGGCAGGGACAGAACTAAACATAGCATAATATTTCCCAATAAAATCCACTTTTATTCTGATGAAAAGCTACTCAAATCTACACTGTGAATAATAATATAACAACAATAAACAAGAGTTACAGTTATGTTTATATGACTATTTCAGGCAAAAAACTTGGAAGGAATAAAATTTTTACATATCTCTTTGGCTGTTTTCCAGGCACAATGATTTCAACTCCAAGATAAAGTTTTTTTCAAAAAAACCAATCCCAAAATACAAAGCCCAAATCGGGACTCATTTCTCAAATGAAAGCTGGATCATTTAAGTAATGTTCCCCTTATTTTTTTTTTTTAAGTGTGCAGGCACTGATCGCAGTCGTATCTTATCACAGATACCAAACAAGAAACATGAAACTTTTGTTTAAAAGGTCTGGAGCTTTTTGATAAATTAGAACACGAAATCTGAAGCAACATAGAAAAAAGGATGCAATCAAAGCTATCCAATCATTCCAAAATGAATCTTGGTCTCCTGTCAGATTTAAGGTACTATATGCTCCAAATCGCATGCAAGTTCTTGAGAATTACGTTGGCCACAAAACCAAGCACTGATAGGAGGCACAAGACTGCAATAGTACCAAGCACAGCCCATTCATCTGCAGTGACCCAGGAATCCTCCAGATGGCACTTTTATCCATACAAAAATCCATTAAGCCCAACCTCTCCGAAAAGGAAGAAGAGTTTGGACAGTGGCCAGATTTTCACTTACTGTAAGTTTGAGATGTTCTGGTAAAAGATCTTTCAGCTGGGCAATGCATTCATTAATCCTATCACGCCTTTTCTTCTCAATCAGCCTGTGAGGCAACTTATAGGTCTCCTGAAAGGCAAATTAGGAAGGGGAAAAAATGGCATCACTCAGAATTGAACTATTTCAGAACATCATTTTCTAAAGGGCTTTGAGTAAAAACTGAATTTGAGTGGAAGAAGACGGAAACATTTCCTTTTCAGTAGGAAAATCTCCTGAACCAAAATACTTCTATCACTGACATCTTCAGGAATGTACTTTATGGAACACTTCTAATCAAAGGTTTTTCACAGCATGAGGCTACTCTGATAATGTAATTTTATCCTCTAACGCTCTATCCTGGAACCCCCTCCCTGAAGTTACACATTCTCCTCCCAAGCAAGCAGGTGGGGCTTTTTTTTCCTTCTAAATCCCCAAGCACCTTTACAGTAGACTCCAAAAGTGGGCAAAATTATTCACTCAGGGTGGGAAGAAACAGAAGCAAGAATGCCTTGCATTTACCTTGCTGTCGTCCCCTCTTTTCAATCCTCTTCTGGGCTTGTAAACTTGATACATGTGAGCAAAGTCCAACCTGTTGATTACAACAAGAAAAAGATATTTTTTTAAAAAAAGATACTACTTTAACTAGCCGGATAAGAGCACGAACTTCCCTTTCCCCCAGGGCTAGTGCAGTCGTGGCTGTCCTCCAAGAGAAGGTCCTCGGGGCCGCCGTCCAATTCCGGGCAGCTCACTCGGGCTTGGAAAGCGGTTTCACGTGAACAGCAACGCCTGTCGTCGGCAACCCTCCTTACCCGGACATGTCGCCGTTCTCTAGCGCAGCCAGCTTGCCCAGACCAGCGGGAGGAGGCTGAGCGCTGGGGATCCGCTCCATGGGCTTTCGGCTTCTCCGAAGGCTCGCTTGGCACCCGGCCGGCCGGAACAGCCCTTCCACTCAAGGCGAAGCCAATGAGAGACCCGGGTCGCCTCCCACCCCAGTCGCCGGACCGGGCGCGAGCAGGGGATGCCGAGGGCTGCGCTGGGCGAAGTCAAGTCAAGTCAAGTCAAGTCAAGTCAGCGGCAGCTGGTCATGTCCTCCCCGGCTCCTTGGCAGCGCTCGAGCGGCGGCTGGAGAGGGGCGCCCCTGCGCCGGCGAGCTGAGGAGAAGTAATTGGAAGGCTGCAGGCTGGGTTAAATGTGAGCGAGGGGGTGGAGGGGAGCGACGCGTTTTACCCTGTGACTCCAGGCACGTCTGGCTGCTACCGGAGGGAGGGACGAGCGCTGCCTCTCCCTCACTCATCACATGAGCCTCACGTGTTGGCCAACGCTCCAGCCTCCCTCTCCCCTCCCGGCCACACAGGCAGGCGCAGGGAGGCGGCAGCCGCCGCTGTCGAAACGTGATGGGGCGATCCCTCTCTTCCACCCACTCCCTCCCACGCCCGGCTCGCCGGCTTGCGGGCGGGCCTGGGCGATGTGCGT